TGACTCTGTAAACCGCTTAGAGAGGGCTGAAAGCCCTATGAAGCGGTATATAAGTCTAACTGCTATTGCTATAATAGCTTAATAATGTAAATATTTACTATTTTTAATAGTTGGAAACTCTTTATCTTCCTGCAGATAGCTTAGCAGTCTTTTAAGACTTGCATTTCTCATTAACCAGATTTTGATTAAAAAAATGATATTTTTTCCACTTTGACTCTGTTCCCAGTGAGACATCTCCTCATACATTTCAGTTAGACCTGTTTTTCAACAATGTCAGCAAACCAAGTGCACCTGTATTTGACAGGCTAGGAAGGTAAGTACTAAAAACATTACTTCATAAAACACTGAATATACCAGAAACCATAAAATTATGGAACACAGAAAACAAACTTGTTACTTCTTTCATGAAAAGTGATTCTGATAGTGCATACTTACCATTTCCTGTAACCATTATTTTTTGTGGTCTTCTCAGCTGTCACGTTGCCAAATTCTGTCCAACTGTACTATTGCATAACATTAAACAAGCAATCCTTGGGATACACAGTCTACAGAAAATGAATAAAATGCAGATACAGAGTTCCTGTATTATGCCACTTAATGCATGTATGGTTAGCCTAATTCTAAAAGTGCAGGTTGTAAGAAGTCCTATTGTAAGACTAGCTACTAAGAAAAGATGTTGGAGAAAAATATACGTGTTTATTACCTAATATCTAATTTTCTTCTACTTAATAGCCTGGAGTATGATGAAAACTCTTCAATTATTTTCAGGCCCAACGCAAAGGTAATTACTATGTAAATTGTGATGCTGTCCCTCTTGTTAGTTAATATCATAACTTTTTAAAAAACCCTTTTGGGCAGAGGTACTCTTCAAAGACTGGATTACTTTCAGTGTATTCCATCAAAGTCTTCTCAAAATCATCAGTTGGTTCAATGGATGCTGAAGAGTTATGAAGTATGTGTATATACACACAAATATATACATATGTACATAAATTTCTTTGTTTACACAATACCTTAGATCTTATGAGTTGATACTTTATTTGCATTTTTTTGGATATGGGAGTCATCTATAATGTAACTGGGGAGTCGTTTGGTGCAATTGGTTACCAAATTGAAATTTTAGGAGATGCTGTGTGTAATGATGATTTGTGATTTCTCTATACTTTATGGCATTGTTGAATGATGTTATACTACAATCATTCAGAAGAGAGGCAAAGATATTTTTTCCCAAATCTCATTCTTCGTCATAGCATTGTATGATATTTAGTTTAATAGACAGATGTTCCTAGCAAAAATGACCTTTGTGTTTTTAGATAGATCCTCGTAATGAGAGCTGAAAACATTTGAAATAAAAAGCATATTTCAGAACTGCTGTAGAATTTGGATATATAGGATTTTTAAAGCTGAAGTATTGCTTTAACAATACATAAAACAATTGATGAAATTGATACTGTTAATTCAAATGCAGCAAGTCATGTTTAATTTGTGTTTTATTTTAAATAATGCAGGTTAACACTGATGGCTTAGTTTTAAGAGGCTGGTATAACTGCTTAACACTGGCAATATATGGCTCTGTTGATAGAGTGGTAGGCCACGACAGAGACTCTCCTCCTCCTCCTCCACCACCTCCTCCACCTCCTCAGCAACAACAAGCTTTGAAAAGAACTCCAAAATTAAGTGAGCAATTCTGTTCTAATTTTTAACTCTCTTCAAAAATGTTTTGGTTAGAAAATCAAATCTTTCATAGCAGTCAAGCGTAGTTTCCTAAACATTTGTTTTTTAGTACTACTTTCAGTGGAATTCATTCTGTAAGTTCATGAGTATGAGTATCAGTACAGTAGCACATGCTTCAGAATTTTTCCGAATAATTCTCTTTCCAATTTAAACCCTTAAGGGTATGGGGTTGGTGGTGTTATCAGACACAGGGTTTTGTTTTCTTATTAATTTAAATGTCATTTCTCCCATCCTGCTCTCGGCAGTTCATTTCCGCTGCTTTGGAAACTGAATGGAATTGCAAAAACAGTTTGGCCTTTGTTTATCATGCAGTACGATTTAATACATAACTTTTCTTTGGCTCAAACATCTTTTACAGCTGATGGAGAGAAAGAGGAACAGTTCAATGGCAGCCCTCCCCGGCCTCAACCTAGAGGACCAAGAACCCCACCTGGCCCCCCTCCTCCGGATGATGATGAAGATGAGCCAATGCCTATATCAGGTAGCCAAGAGGAAATTCTGTTCTTATAGTCACATCTGAGAGGAAAAGCTTTGGATCTTTCTGAAATAACTTCACTAATACATGTTTTGGTGTCTAAAATAGAGAACCAAATATACAATGCACAAAAGTATATTTGGGTTTTTGACAGTGTTTTGCATCCTGCCATTGGGTTAAGAATTTTCCTTCCCAAATATGGTACTTCATAATTTAGAGTACATGGTTCTGTGTTTAATAAAGAATTGAATTTAATAAAGAATTTTTTAAAAATCTTCACATCCCCCATCCACATTATGTAAAACTGAATCTGGTGGTGCAGTATGGGTGCATACTGCACCCATATTGATGGGTCAATATTATATTTCAACTTAACTTTAAATCAGATATCTTTGTTACTTAACTTTCATTATAAGTAACTTTTCAGTATTGAAACCTCAAGCATTGTTTTCTTGCTATTTTCCTGCTATTTCATTATTTTCAGTTGCTGGAGAAAAAGAAGACGATGTTGATCACAGAGAAGATTATTTTGAGCCCATTTCTCCTGATCGGACTTCCATTCATCAAGAAGGACCATATTCTGACGAGGCAGAAGTGGAAGAAGAACAAGCAGAAGAAATGGATGATGATGAAGAAGGTGTGGATGTTGAGGAGGAAGAGGATGAAGAAGAGGATGACGATGGTCAAACAGTAGATAGCATTCAGGATGATGAAGAGGACGATGATGAGGATGAGGATGAGGATGAGGATGATGAAGAAGAGGAAGAAGGTGATGAAGAGGAAGAAGGTGAAGGTAGGCAAATTCAACCAACTAGATTCATGCATGCATACATTATGTTGTTCTTGCTTGATAATCATTGACTCGCAGATAAATATCTGGTCTGACCCTTTTCTTGAAACAATGTTGGCAGTGTATAAAAATTTTATTTCACTTAGTCTATGATGGCCAACATAGAAGACCAAGAACCCCACCTGGTCTCCCTCCACGTGATGATGAAGAAGATGAGCCAATGCCTGTATCAGGTAGCCAGGAAGAAATTCTGTTCTCATTATTGTCACATCTGAGAGGAAAAACTTTGCATCTTTCTAAAATAACTTCACTATGGTATATTTTGATGATTAAATTAGGGAACCAAATACACGATGCACAAAAATATATTTGGTTTCTTAACAGAGAGTTTTTCATACTGCAATGCATACAATTGAATCCTTGCTTGGTGTTAACAGTTAATCTTTGATTTACCTGCAAGCTGAAAGTATGGTATTTAAGAACCAATTTTGAAAAGACATAATTTTAGGAAGGAAGATTTAACTGTTAATTTCTGGAAAAGGATGAAAAAAAATGTATGCATTTTTATAAGATGCTGCCAATATTTGTAAGTGAAAAGGGAATAATTGAGTACATAATCAAATAATAATTTGCAATAATTTAGTCATTTATGTGAGCTGTTGATAAGCCCCAAATTAGTGTTTCCTTTAAAAGTATATTTGATTTTTTCAAAGCTTAAATTGCAGTATTTATTTGTTGTATTTATATCCTTCCTCACTCCACCAACTAGTGAGTGTTTTAGTTAGTGTCATTCTGTTAGGACTAATTAGTCCTTGTTTTGACATTTAGTAACAAGATGTTCTCAGATTAGCAACATTTCTGCATTCTTTTTAAATACATATTTTCTTATATGTTATATTTTTTTCCCCTGTCCTGTTAAAGATACAGTAGGAGCAAAAAAGCTCTAAACATAGGCATTCCTTCTGAATAAGGGCCAGAAAATAAACAAGCTATTCATTGTGCTTTAGTAACCTTTTCAGTATGGCTGCAATAAAGATGGTTTGCAATCTTTGGAAGGGCTGTTGGGATTGTAGGGCAGTAAATTCAAATATTTTTTGCCAAGACACTTGGAATTTGTCTCTACATATTGATGTATATTTGAGCACCTGTATTCTATTTTGAGTTAGTTGCATCAGCTTTTATAAGCATGAGAAACTATTGCTAGCCAAAGTATTTCTCTGTTTTCTCTTTGAATGCTTGAAGTCTGACCTTGGTCTTGTTTACTTGGCAGTCGTTCTTTTTGCGGTACATGCACCTTTTTAGAGGTCCATTTGATTGAAACATATAGAAACTTTTGGAATAAAAACACAATCTTAGATGTGGGAAGATTATTACATAGCGTTTTATAGCCTTATGTTCTTCATGTGTGCTTTGATTAATAATACATTATTTATTGCTTCGGTGGGGTATGTATGTGTAGAAGGACACACATACAAAGTGGGAGCCAATATGGTATTTTATCTAATCAACAGTTAAAACATGAATTTTATAGTATGTTTTTAAATATTTGTTTCAGGAGATGATGGTTATGAACAGATTTCAAGTGATGAAGATGGTATTGCTGACTTGGAACGAGAGACGTTTAAATACCCAAGTTTTGACATTGAATATACTGCTGAAGATTTGGCCAGAGTGCCACCTGTAACCTATGATCCTTTTGATAGGGATCTTGGACCCCTTCTATATTTCAGTTGCTCCTACAAGACCACTTTTGAGATGGAAGTTGCCAAGATGAGAGATCAAGATCTAGAGAAGGAAAACAGTGGGGCAGTAGAGAGTTCCGTTAAATTGACTGAGCTCCTTGAATTGTATCAGGAGGAAAGAGGTGCAAAATGGGTCACAGCTTTGGAAGAAATACCCAGTTTAGTAGTCAAAGGACTAAGTTACTTGCAATTAAAGGATACAAGCCAGGATTACTTAAGCCAGTTGGTTGACTGGACAATGCAGTCTTTAAATCTTCAAGTAGCCCTGAGACAACCAATTGCTTTGAACGTCCGTCAGCTGAAAGCTGGGACAAAGCTTGTCTCTTCACTGGCAGAATGTGGAACTCGAGGAATAGAAGCACTCTTGCAAGGGGGAGTAATTGATTCTTTATTTGAGTTGCTCTTTGCGGATCATGTGTCCTCTTCCCTTAAACTTAATGCTTTCAAAGCTTTGGATAGTGTTATTAGCATGACTGAAGGAATGGAGGTTTTTTTGAGGAGTAGTTTGGAGGCCAGTGAAAAAAGTGGCTATCAGAGACTTTTGGAACTTATTCTCCTGGATCAGACTGTAAGGGTAGTCACTGCAGGTTCTGCCATTTTACAGAAATGTCACTTCTATGAGATTCTGTCTGAGGTAAAAAAAATTGGTGACCAGCTAGCAGAAAATCCCCCACCCCTTCCAAATCATTCTGAGTCTGAGCAGGATCCAGATGCTGGACCTGAAAGAGGCAACCAGGAATATGATAACGATGTAGATGCTCCAATGGATATGGACAATATTTTGGAGTCCTCCACTATGAATGAAGGAGAAATTGAAAAACTCATTAACATTTTAGATGAAATTTTGCATTTGATGGAGACAGCCCCGCACAGCATGGTGCAGCCACCTGTGAAATCTTTTCCAACAACAGCACGTATTACAGGGCCTCCAGAAAGGGATGATCCTTTTCCAGTTCTGTTCAGGTATGTATATTTTTGATTTTGGTAGATGGCTTTAGTTATGCGTGTTCTGTTTTTTTTAGTTGGTACCTTCAATATATGTTCATCAGACTTTCACTACTGCACAGCATATTTAAAAGCGAAACCTGGTCTAATTGGAGTTGAAACTTGACTAGTTTGTCCATTATTTAATAAATATTGTTGATTTAATAGGAAATATTTTAATTTCTTTACTACTTTCATTTCCGTTTCTTTGTTTCTTCACATTTTCCTTAACGTTATTTCACTTTCCCCATTTAAATTAAAAAGATTTGAGTCCTCAAATGTTTACTTAGAATTGAAGAATAGGTAGTACCTATAGGTAATTTGCAAGTTCTTAATACTTGCTAACCAGTGTGCTATTCTGAGTGTTTCAGAATTTTAAAGAGAAGATTGTGCATAATCTATTCCCTGAATATCCTCAGTATTTCCAATTTGTAGCCATTGAAAATTGTAGTAATCTCCTTGTTACCATGGTGGTGCTTTCTACTTACGTTGATAAAAATAGTAATAATTAGCCCTGTGCTTCATTAATTTAAGTTTGTAGGAACATCAGGTCATCTGATTTGCAAAATAAACTTTTAACAAATAGTCTTGATTTCTTGGATTGAATGAATATATAGCAATCAGTAAAAATTTGAAACAATGTTTTTGTGTTTTTAATGCAAAAATATAAAACAGGTATAGATCTACTGAAATTAAATTCAGGCTCAGATGAATGATAATGCTGATGCTGTTATCCATTGAGTTGTGTCTGACTCTTGGCAATTCTATTGGTCAAATCACTCCTAATCTTCCGAGCTTGCATTACTCCTTTTGAATTGTTCTGTGCTCTTTCTTGTGTCACCTTTGATGGTGTCCAGCCACTGTGTTCTTTGAGGGCCTGCTTTCCTTTTACCTCTAACTCTAACATAATTACTTTCTCCAGTGAAGATGGATATCAGTTTTCCTTTTAAATTGGAGATATTAATTAGTATGATAGTAATTAATCCCACTTCATATTTGTGGGATTTGTTTTCTATTCCAAACCACAAGGGTACCCTGTAATACAAATACAGAATTGTATGAGGTTGCAGTTTAGCTATCTTATGGGAAAATGTAGTGGATAGATGTTATTTCTTAGTATTATTTATCCTTCTCTTCATTTCTTCAGGTATCTTCACAACCACAGTTTTTTGGAGTCTGTCACTTTGCTGTTGTCCAATCCAATAACAAATGTGCATCCTGGAGTGCTTCAATCTGTCAGAGATATTCTGAGGTTTTTAGCACAGTCACAGAAAGGTCTCCTTTTTTTCCTCTCTGAATATGAAGCCACCAATTTGCTGGTTCGAGCATTTTGTCAGTTTTCGGATCCCGATCAAGAAGAAGGCCTGCAAACCGACGGGGCAGGCGATGAAGCATTTCCCTTATGGCTTCTTCATTCGACCCAGACGCTGCAGTGCATTTCAGAACTATTCAGCCACTTCCAGCGTTGCACAGCCACTGATGAAACTGACCATTCAGATCTCCTGGGAACCCTTCATAATCTTTACTTGATCACTTTTAACCCAGTAGGAAGAGCTGCTGTTGCCCATGTCTTCAGTCTTGAGAAGAATCTCCAGAGCCTTATTACTTTAATGGAGTTCTACTCCAAAGAAGCATTAGGGTAATGATTTATTATTAGATTTATATGGGCTGGCTCGCAATATTCTGCCTTTGTTTTGTGCAGCTCAAAAAACATGTACACAATGCTGCTTCTTTCTACTTGATCCACAGATACAGTCTTGTGAGGTTGGTTGGGTGGAGAGAGTGTGACTGACCTCATCACGAAGTGTTATAATACATTAAGCAATGTCTCTGAGGGCTCCTGTACAGATAGTCTTCAAGTTGTGCCATTCATTCAGTGACTATTTCAACTTGTAATGGTGCTGAACAAAGGGACTTAAGACTGGTCCTCAAGAGTTCTGGTCATTGCAACACTCCTGCGGTCATGTGAACTAAATTTGAGCACTTGGCAAACAGTTTGCACTTAAACTGGTTGCAGTGTCCCATGGTCACATAACTGCCATTTGTGAGCCTCCATGCAGGCTTTTCCCAAGCAAAGTCAATGGGGAAGGCATTAGGAAAGAGAAAGAAGTCGCTTGGGTAAGTCTCCCCAACTCCCCGACATTCTTTGTTTGTATGCACTATGCCAGGGGTCGCCAACCTTTTGGACCTCCGGGACCACTAAATTCATAATTTAAAATCCCGTGGACCACCAATATGAATTTTTTAAAAAGATAAATAGTATTTAGTGCAATATAAAAAAATGCAAATAATTGTTCTGAGGACCACCAAAATTTTCTCATGGACCACCAGTGGTCCATGGACCACCAGTTGGTGACCGCTGCACTATGTCTTCATTTTGCCCTTCTCTTGCATGCTGTACCCTGTTTTCCTACATCTTTGTGCTCATACACACCCTGCACCTTCCCCCCTCCCCTCCCAATCTTTCTCGGCTTGAGCCATATTGCAACACCCTCCTCCCCCAACTCATGCAAATACTGCACTGCCTCCACCTCACCCCACCTCCATGCTCTTTACCTGGGACTCCTGCTTTCTTCCTAAGTTGCTATGCAACTGGAATTATGACATCAACCAGGATTGCCTGGAATGTAGTCACTAAGCGGGGCAGTCATATGATATGGTTTATAACCACATTGCATAGTGACTGCAATTCTGATTCCAATTGTAGTTGCAGCGTGAGGACTGTCTTTAATAGGATCGATAGAAACTCTCAACTCAGTTCAGAACAATACTGTTTTTTAAATTAATTTTTATTCTAAAGATTACTGCTTGCTTCTAAGTACTGTTCTCTTTGGACCGTAATATGTTTTAAAAGTAGAAGGTTTATGAAAGAATAGGATGGCTTGATAAAACCTCTGTGAACTTTAATGATAACTATATTGGTCTGCTGTGTTTAATATAAATGGAATACTGTGCTGGGCAAGTGAGAATCCTCTTGCACAGTTGTTTTTCCTTCTGTGAGTTCTATGTGCCCACTAAATCTCTGAAGAGTGGGAAACCTGTGATGGAAACTTAATCTCTGGGTTTTATGCTTAGTATGAAGACTAAAACATGAAATGAAGTAATATGAAGCAAACTAGTAAGTTGTAAGTTTTTGTTTTAAACAGTGATTCCAAATCAAAAAAGTCAGTTGCCTACAATTACGCCTGCATCCTTGTTCTACTGGTGATACAGTCTTCAAGTGATGTCCAGATGCTTGAACTGTACTCAGCCCCCCTGCTGAAGCTTTGCAAAGCGGATGAAAATAACACCAAGTTACAAGGTACACTGTTTGTTATTGTTGGACAATGTTTTAAATGATGTAGGAGAAATATTTCTAATACTCTGTTTCACTATTGCATGTATTAAGATTACTAGATACTATAATTGAAAGATCTTCTTATGAAGTTGGTTTTTAAAGAAAAAAAATATTCCTGATTTATGTAATATACTACTCATGGACAGATGCCATAATTTGAAAGAAATATATAGATTCGTATTCTATATTGATGTATCACTTAGATTCTTTAAATCAATTCTTATTTCCACATCACCTACTCCTGTACAGCTTTAAAATGAAGTGTGCTGGTGTTACATTCCCAAACAGTATTGGGATTTTTGTTCCTTGTGAAGTTATCACTTGCTGTTTCTCAACATTATAAATTTGATTTGTGTTAATATCAAAAGTGCTGTCCAAAGCTTTGTGTAACTCTGCTACTGAGTGGAAAAAGCAATCCTGATAGATACATCTGATTTCTTTCATGCATGAAGTGTACTTCCAGGCATTTTGTTTTCTTTAAAGTATAATATTTTAAATCATCTTAATTTTATTTGTATTAATGATTTTAATTTGTACTACTGTCCAATTTCCGTAGCTGCTTATGGTATTTCATAAATTATCTAGCTTGGTGGTTGATATAATTTATGTGCCTTATACTTAATTGGTGGAAGGATGCTTTTGAATACAATATGAATAAGAAGTCTCAGAATTGTATGGAATATTTTTCCTTCTGCTGTTAAATAAATTAGGTAGAAAAACAATATTTCTGTTTTATTATTTTGTTCTAAAACTTTACATATCAAGTATAAGGGTTGGAAATAAATTGGGAGTGTGTCCAACAGTGCTGTCTGTCAGAGAAAAGGTCCAATCTTTGGAATGCAAACTGGCTGAAATGGAGATGTTTAGAGTTATACAGTCTGGTCCTTTGGATATGTAGTACCTCAGAACAACAGTGACTTTTAGTCAGGCAGAATGAGAATCTTGGAGAAGGAGGATATGATTTCAGTGATAAAGGAGATATTTACTGTGTTCCTAGTATGCATATGTGACAAAATATGTTCCCATTGTTAAGATTCAATCAATTTTAGAACCAAAAGGCTGACCGCTCTAATTGTTTTCACATTTTCTTGAATGCCTCATGTAACATTCATCAAATGATCTTGTTTGTTTTTAGAACTTAATAAATGGTTGGAGCCATTGAAAACAATCCGATTTGAAATTAATTGTATCCCAAATCTCATTGAATATATTAAACAGGTCAGTAAAATAAATAAGTAAGAACATACGGGGGAGTGTGTTTTCACTGTACTATCTAACAAATTTTGTAATTTTTACATGGTTTTCATTGCCATCCTTGGACAGGGAGATTAATGGCATATAAATTTAATAAATAAAAAGTAAAAATAAGTATGACCTTAGAATAGCAAACTCCTCATCTTTTGGAACAAATGTTAATTTTGGTTCAGATTTTGTTGAAAATAGACATGCTGTTCAATTAAAATGTTTTGGGAAGGGGAAAAATATGGATTGGCAATTCTATGTTTGCTGTTCACTTTAAGTTGCTAGATTGGTCCCTCATTTCAACTCTGAGCTACAAATAGTCTCCTTTATGGGATCTAGTTTGGCCCTCCCACCCTAGTCCCCTTTATTGTATTTATAGTTTTACTTAAATATTCATGAAACAATAAATACATGCTAACATTTAGTTTGGTATCTAAATATTGGAATGGTGATCTTACAGAACACATACAAATTGTTCTTTTTTAAAAACAAAGCTGGATGTATTGCACAATAAGGAAGGACCAAATCTTGAACCAAATCCATTGCTGGACTGCTGAAGAGTTACATAAGTCAGGCTTTCCGTATCTCTGTGCTTTCTATATAAGTGAACTTCAAGTCCTAAAATCTACACTATTAGACAACATGGGGAACTGCGACTTTTCGGTAATTGTTTTGGTTACATACAATAATTAAATGGATCTCTCCATAGCTTGTGCAGAAGCAGTGTTGGTCTGTTAAATCAGATATATCCATTTTGAATATTTATGTTTTTAATCATTATCTACTTCTTTACTTTAAAGAACATTGATAGCTTGATGACTCAGGAAGGAGTTGGTCTTCCTACAGCACTTCGTGTCTTGTGTCATATTGCTTGTCCTCCACCACCTGTTGAAGGTACAATCTTTAATCTCTTAGTTCTCATTGAGTACAATGTATTGCATTAAATCACACAAACATTCTAAAATATATTGCTCTTTGCCTACTGATGGTATAAACTCTGGAGTAATTCTCAGTTCATTTTATTGAGTGAAAAAAGTACGTTAAAATATTTACCTTTTTTCACCAACAAAATCATTGCATCTAATTTCTATTCATTATGAAGTTGAAAATAAAATATAAAGACTTTTCTTCTTTTTATTTCTCCTATCATTCATAAAGGTCAGCAAAAGGACCTTAAATGGAACCTTGCAGTTATTCAGCTCTTCTCTTCTGAAGGAATGGACACATTTATCAGAGTTCTGCAAAAACTAAACAGCATTCTTATTCAGCCCTGGAGACTCCATGTCAACATGGGAACAACTCTTCACAGAGTCACTACAATCTCCATGGCCCGATGTACTCTCACACTTTTGAAGACCATGTTAACTGAATTGCTACGGGGAGGATCCTTTGAATTTAAAGATATGCGTGTTCCTTCAGCACTTATTTCTTTACACATGCTTTTATGTTCTATAACCCTCTCTGGGCGTTTGGACAGTGATGAACAGAAAATCCAGAATGATATTGTTGATATCTTGTTGACTTTCACCCAAGGTGTTAATGAGAAGCTGACTATTTCCGAAGAAACTCTAGCCAATAATACTTGGTCACTAATGCTCAAAGAGGTTCTTTCTTCTGTTCTAAGAATCCCAGAAGGATTTTTCTCTGGCCTTATATTGCTTTCAGAACTACTGCCTCTTCCTCTGCCTATGCAGACCACTCAGGTAAATAAGAACTACCAAATGATTTTTTTTTAAAAAAATCAGCTAACCTGAAAGTTGAGGAGCTATGAAACATATTTATGAATTTTACTTTTATTAAAGTTAAAGTATATATAAAGTAAAGTTATATTGTTATACACTCTTAGGTTGGTTTTATTTAGAATCATTGAACAAAATAGTTTGGAGAACCAAGGAAAATATAGGATCAGGTACCACAGGGATATTTGTATTGAATACTCATGTGTACTCTTTGTTTCAGGTTATGTGCCTTTATAGGGCTGTTTTGTGAGAATAATTTTGAGTATGAATGCCAGTTGACGTACTCTCCTTGGCAATTTTTCTTGGAACTCCTCACTCTATTCACATACATTTTCTATAAAATCCCAGAGTGGAGACTGGCACAGCATGTTGCAAATGTATGATTATTGTGCATTTCAAGGGATTAATTTTGTTTTCTGTAGGTTATTGAACCACATGACCTATCAGTAGCTCTCAATACTAGAAAACTTTGGAGCATGCATCTTCATGTTCAAGCAAAATTACTGCAAGAAATAGTACGATCCTTTTCTGGCTCTACTTGCCAGCCTATTCAGCATATGCTAAGGCGCATTTGTGTACAGTTGTGTGACTTGGCCTCACCAACGGCTCTCCTTATTATGAGAACTGTCTTAGATCTACTTGTAGAAGATCTGCAAAGGTACATTTCAATATTTTGTTTAATATGACCTAAAGAAGACAATTATTGTTTAACAATTTGTCTAATGATTTGTCCAAAGTAGAGAAGTTGATCTCATTGGTCACCATTTTGCCTGCTCACAATTGAATGTAGACTTAAAAGGTCCTGTTGTGGTTATGGTCCCTTTTCCTGTCTTACTCGATACTTAGTCATATGCTTTGGACCAAAGATGTTTGTTTTTTTTGAAAAGGTAACCGAACTTCCTTTGTTTTTCGTTGAGGACATTTTGCTTCTCATCCAAGAAGCTTCTTCCAGAAGTGACATCTGAAGAAGCATCTTGGATGAGAAGAAACATCTTTGGAACAACCAAGACATGGATGATTGAGAATCTCCATAACATATTGCTTTGGACCTTATGCCTTCTGTTGCTTCATTCATGTGATTGCCCAGCCATACATTCTGTAGCACCAATTTGTATTGTGGGGTGGGAGAGCAAGACTAAGTTTTGGTTTTTGAATAGTGTGTCAAGTGTTAGGTAGCTATGCACCTAAAAGTATTTTGTTTCATTTCATTTCCATCCTAGAACAACAAGAAGTTAGTGACTAATATAGAGAAGTGAGTGAAACGGGGGGGAAAAACCCTCCAAAATTTAATTCTATTTCCTGAATATTTGCTTTTCATTAAAGTCACTTAAACACCACTAATAGTATTATTTCTAGTGTCATTAGTAATCCCAGTAACTTTTCATGTAGGTGGCAGTTTGACAGTTATGCAAGAATGAACATTGTGTGTGTGTGTGTGTGTGTGTGTGTGTGTGAATGAATGAATGAATGGGAATATTCAAACTTGTATGTTTGCTTTTATTTGCATTTCTACCTAGTGTGATATCTTTCTAATAAAGAAATTTCTCACCATTTCAGCAGCCCAGAAGATAAGGAGAAACAATACACTGGTCAGACCACCCGCTTACTTGCTTTATTTGATGCCCTGGCTTCCCACAAAGCTTGTAAATTAGCTATTTTGCACCTGATTAATGGAGCTGCTAAAGGCGATGAAAAATATACGGAGGTTTTCCTGGAACTTTTGTCTTTGATGCAAACTGCAGGAGAAAACATAATTCATCAGCAGTGTGCAGAATACTTAGCTTCTATTTTACAGTCCTTCTGTGACCAGGTATTTAAAATGGAAAATCTAAAGAAGAATTTAATTTAATTTTCTGTGTTCTTTGCATATTCCCATGGTTATGTCTTCACATACATAGGTACATAAATGTACTGTTATACATTGGTAGGCTGTGAAAGAATGGACTTGCTAAACCATTGCCTTGTTTAGTGACCGCAAACATTATTACAGGCGTGAAAAAAATATAACTTTAGGACTGATTCTCATATTTATGACAATTGCAGCATCCTGCAGTCATGTAATCACAACTTGTGTGCTTCACAGCCAAGTTCCAACAAACAGAATCAATGGAGAATCCAGCAGTAAAATTAAATGATGTCTTATTTAATGACTAGAGGTGGAAGTAAAGTCATAAGTCTGTTGCAGTTACATTATGTCTTGTTTAGTGATGGGGTTGTTGGTTGCCAATTTGGGTCTTTAGGACTACTTCCAAAGACATTCTTTTTCTTGGAAACAGTTGTGTTGTACATCAGAACAGATTCAGAATCTTGTCTACTGTAATATGTTAGTGCAACCAACCTATGCATGTTTACATTCTGGTTTTTGTCTGTGTATGTGTGTGTTCCTCCCTTGGAAACTTTCCCAAAATTAAATGCTGTCATTTCTTCAGATTAGTTTCCCCCACGGAATTTACCATATGAAACAGAATCAACCGAATGAATTATAACGATTTACAGTTTACTGCAGGGCTGTGTAATAATTGGATTAATTTGTTTATGTGTTTTAAGATGTCATAATTCCTAATATGCTAAATTTATGTATATTAATATTTTTTAAAATTTTCCCCGTTTGAAGTTTTTCAATAATTAAAATTTTCTATTCTATTATTTTGCATATTCTAGTGATATTTTAGTTTTAGATGGCTTAGTTTTGCTGAGTTTTCTGAATTAAATCTCAATTGCTGCATCTGTGCAAATAATAATACTAAATGAGCATTCCCTTAGAAAAAAGCCGCTAATGTAGAATATAGTAGACATTCTTAAGTTCACTAATCAAGAGCCAAAAGACTTCCCTCTTTAGAAAATTTTATATTGGAAATAATGCAGCAATAGGCCTCAGTCATTATGCTTACAGATGCTTATGTTGATACATGCCAGACTTCCAACACTAGATGTTCCAAGTCCCCCAAACTATACATTTCATAGGTATTATTTGAAAGTAAAAATGATAGGTAGTTGAGTCCAGCATGTCGATCATCTGCTGAGAAAAGCAAAGTTTTTTTTATTTCGGATCCCAGATAAATGTTACAAAATTGGCATTTTGTGACTGGCAGTTTCCACTAAGTTGTCACTTTATAAGAATGTGTACAACATGCTCTCAAAACCCCAATGTGCCCACTAACCTAAAGGAGTTATCTATTATTAGTCAATTAACTTATTGTGAGCAGTAAATCTGTTTTCTGTGCCAATAACATTACTACCATAGGGAGTCTCAGATATCTTTTGAATTATGTCGTGTTGGTCTGCTATTCGAAAAAAAAGACAATCTTTGAGGCATTCTTCATGAATTAAGGCACATTCTAAATTAGCTCTTTGAGTCCCAGCTATTGGCTTGCATTGCCATAATTATAAAATATGCCCCTGCCTTTCAGTAATACATTGTGGTTTTTTTTTTTATAGGATATCGCCTTGATCTTGCCCAGTTCCTCAGAAAGCACTCTTTCTGAACTGGAGCAGCTTTCCAATTCATTGCCAGGCAAGGAACTCATGGCTTCCATCTGTGACTGCCTGATAGAAACAGTTATTAATGCTGAAAGCAGCTATACCTGCTTGCTGACTTGTATCAGGACAATGATGTTCCTTACAGAGCACAATTATGGATTCTATCACCTGAAAAGGTATCATTTCCCCATTTCAAATGTTTCTAAAAGTACCTGTAAATTTTATGCAACTCCCATTCATTTTCAGTGGAGATTAGTCATATTAGTTCAACACTAAAAGAAACCGTGAAAATCAGTCCCTGAAAAATCAGCTTCCTAAAGCGAGCTTCCTATCTTCCAGTGTTGTTTATGTCCTGTTTCTTACAATTAAAATTTAAGACGAATATTCCAGTAAAATTCCTCCCTGAAATTCTGAAAGTTGATCTTGGAAGAACATGATATATAAACTCTGTCCCAGAGGTGATAATTGGGACTATAAAACTTAGTTGACGGTGTGTAGTTTGCTCAGTGATGTTATTCCATTTGCATCAGTTTGCAGATTTATAAAGAGAATGAAATAGTGTGCAACCTCCTTCTTTTCTCCCATGCATTGGGCCATGGTGGTGGATGAACCCATTTGTAATTGTTAATATGGAAAGATTGTGGGTTGGCTCTTATGGTTTCATGTTTCATATGGATGCTCCATCACTGGAGGCTTTCAAGAAGAGACTGGACAGCCACTTGCCTGGAATGGTATAAGGCAGGGGTCAGCAACTTGCGGCTCTGGAGCCGCATGTGGCTCTTTCATCCCTCTGCTGTGGCTCTCTGTCGCTCAAAATATGTGTCATAACCGCCAATGTGTGACACATGTCAACATGCGATTTGTTGAGCTTTTTGACCACCAGTAGGCCAACCATGGCTAAATCCTAAAAAAGAAAAGTTTCAGAAGAAAACAGAACTTTTAATTCAACTACATATGCTAGTTTTGTGGTTGCTCAAGTCAACACGGGAAGGGTTTTGAGTCTCCCAGTATTTTCTTTTATGTGGTAAACAGGTCCAAATGGGTCTTTGAGTGTTTATAGTTGCTGACCCTTGGTATAGGGTCTCCTGCTTGAGCCGGGGGTTGTACTAGAAGACCTCCAAGATCCCTTCCAACTCTTGTCATTTTTATTTTTGCTGGTGTTTGGTTTCAATGTTATAAAGGAAATGAGATAAGAATATTACTCAACAATAAGAATTGCAGCCAGTCTTTTAGAGAATATTGATAGAGACAGTTTTGGCTATCAGTTGCTATGGCAACTATTTTAGAAGAGACCTCTTATGCAAATGAAGGGATAAGAATTGCCTTATGGATGACAGATTCTGTTGATCAGTTCTGCAATTTAAAATATTTTTTTGTATCTAGTTTAGGTATTGCAATTGGCTGACTGATCTAAAAGTATTGTAGCAGTCTGAGAGTTTGCTACACCTAAGAATATTAAGTACAATGAAATTACTTCACATTTTATCTAGCAATACTCCTTTATGAATAAATGAACTAGCTGCTTTTTAGTCTCTTAGTCACTTACGAGCTACATTAAATTTAGTAGGTAAAGTAAAATATTTCTTTTTTGAAACAACCTTAGGTCTCTGGCAAAACATTGTGGTGCTTTGCAAACAGTACTGAAGAGAATAGTAAGCAGCTTCAGTAAAGACACAGGAGAACTTGCCTCTTCCTTTCTGGATTTTATGAGACAGATACTAAATTCAGATCCTTTGGTAAGTAAATTCAAACTTATATTTCTCAGCAATGTTGTCGTTGTATTGCAATTTAGCAAAATATCTTTGAAGTAGACCACAATGCTATGTAAATAGTTAAGGTGCCTTCTAAATAAAGTGTCAATTTAGTTTAATATTGATTTTAAAGTTATTTCATTGAAAAAAATTTAGAACTTGCTTTTCTGTTGCTAAAATATGCAAGGCACGTCTCCTCTTTGCTTTTTAATTCTCTACAATAACTCCCATCAAAGCAAGAAATAATAAAACATAAAATGAAAGGAATAACAGATGGTTTTCACTAAGGGAATGTTTCCAGGCTTTTGGGTAAGGTAGTTGAAGCTCCTTTTGAGTAGTATTTGCATGATTTTGTTGTTGCTTATTGGTTTTACCATCTTTTTATTCATTTGCCTTTACTATTACTGTATTATTATATTGTTCGTTATTTTTTCTTACTTTGTGAACCACCCAGAGTTGCTTAATAAATAAATTTATTCATCAAGTGATTCAAACTACTATTCTCAGAATGTTGAAAATACTACCCATAATTATGATTATAGAGAAATAAAAAGTTCTAAGAACAATTATGTATGATCAGTGTCAACGATTAACATGGTTTTGAGAAAGCTTCATATGATGGATCTACAAGTATAAAAAAGCATTTCACAAAATCCCTGTGATGTATATTCTGTAAGCATGTTTCCACATGGATACTGAAAAGGAAAGAGATCTCATATTGATCTATTTAGTATTGAAAGAAGGTTTGTCTTAAAGGACAGAATGAGTGCATACTCCTTTTTTTAAAATATAATTTTTATTAAATTTTCCAAAGTATAAAATACAAATAAAAATGAAAATAGTGGGAAAATGGGGAATGGTAAAAGGAGGAGAGAGAAGTGTAGGATAAAGGAGAAAAAAAGCATTAATATCTGACTCTTTTCAGAGCGGTAAGATAGAAATAATAAGATTACAGCTTCAACTTTTTACTTTTGCATGCTTAATATATATCTCAGCAATTTCTCTAACAAATTAGTGCATTCTTTTTGATGAAAACAAGTGTACCCAAAGCTATATTTTACACTGTTATATAAAAATTCTTATGTTTGTTTAGCTTGGAGATTACATTGAATGTTTATTTTATGTGTCCTCCATTGGCAACTTTATGTTGCATATAAGATGGCTTTTTATACTTTTTGCAGTACTTTTTCACTTAGCTACTTCTTCATGTTCTTCAGGGATGTTGTGGGGATGATGGGAGTCTTGTGGAAGTAGATGGAAGTCATCCCACCAGAACACTGGGTCTTAGCACTGCAGAATTAAAATATCAGCTGCAGACCAAAGAAGAGACTCCTGAAAACCTGCTCCTTGAACTGGAGAAACTGGTTTTGGTAATGTATCTTTCACTAAAAAAAACAATATTTTCATTTAATATAAAGTGAGTTTTGCTCCATTTTGTGACCTTTTTTTGCTACAGTTGTTAAGTGAACCCTAGCAGTTATTAAGTTAATTACATGACTGCTAAGTAAATCTGGTTTGATTTTGCTTGTCAGAAGGTCGCCAAAGGTGACCACATGATCCCAGGACACTGGAATCTTCATAAATGTGAGTTAGCTGCCAACTGTCTGAATTTTGATTGCATGACCATGGGGATGCTGCAATGGTCGTAAAGTGTGAAAAATGGTCATAAGTCACTTTTTCCAGTGATGTTATAACTTTGAGCGGTCACTAAATGAACTGTTGTAATTCGCGGACTGCCTGTATTGTGTGTGCATTATTCAGACTGAATAGTTACTGTAGCTAATGAGAGAAATATAAAATTAATCTTATCACATTTTTGGATGATTACACAGCCATCCTGATTTTCTTGATCATGGTTACCATCCTGCATTCATTTAGTTCTCTGCCTGCATCTATCAGTCTTGATGGTTATTTGGTCTTGTTGTCTACACATCTTCTTGATCTTACATAACCTGCCAATAGCATTTTGCACTATATCAGATTAAATGGCTTCTATGGTACACAAATTTTTAATAAACCTGTTCACCTTTAAAATGCCACCTTTTGTTGCATTACGTTAATACAATTGCTTCTTATAATTGTATTGTTTTGTAGTGCATCATCTCTAACGGGAATCCAAAATAAATATATTCTGGTGAAATGCTCTCTCTGTGTATCTTGTTAACTGTCCAGAATGCTAGATTTTATATGATTGATGACAGTAGAATTTCTGATCTAGGAGTGTTCTAAGGAAGAAGAGACCCTGGAAGCATTACTGGATAATGTTGTTGCACTTAGACAGATGTTGGAATCTGCTGGAGAGGCTTGTCCTCTAAGTGATCAAGATGTGGAACCAATTTTGCCTGCTCCAGAATCTCTCCAACATCTATTTAATAATAGGTAAAATAACAAAAATACATTTGCATGGACAAGAGAATTATAATATTTGGAATTGGTATATTTGGATCACATTTAAATAAATCAGATTATTTTCAAGGGGATTGTGGTACACAATAGAAATTCTTAAGTACTATTGTATAATTATTAAAACTATATTTATTATACCAAATTATTAATTTCCTATCTCTGTAAAACACGGAGTCCAACCTTTTCCTTCTTTCCGTTAATTTTCTTCCAGAATTGCATATCAAACAAGTTTATTTTTATTTCTAGTGTTCTATCTGTTCCTTTTACTTTTCAACTTTTTTTTTTTTTTAGTATTATACCATGTATTGAAGGTAAGTCAAATTTGGCAGGTAAAATGATGTGATATAGTTTTAAAATAATAAAATAGCTAATAGTTGCAACTGAAGGAGAAAATGGCAACAGTTTGTGTTAGTTATAGGCTATCCTTTTGTTTTTGGTTAAGAACAGATCTTTATAAGGATGTAATAGTTTGGGCTGCAAGAAGATTTTTGTCAGGGTAATTAGAATTTGGACTTAGGACAAGGGTTAGTAAATATGTAGTTTGGGTAAAGAGATGAAAGTTTTTAATGAATTTAGTAACTTCAACAAATATTGACCAATAATGAAAGCTGTGTTTTACCTTACAGGACTATGTACATCTTGGCAGATGTTATGGATGACCAACTGAAGTCTATGTGGTTCTCACCATTCCAGGCTGAAGAAATTGAAACTGACCTTGACATGGTAAATAATTAAAAAGTAATTCTTGGGTAATATTTTTCAACTCTGCGTGTAATACAATATTGCATTCAAACGTCTATGTTAATCTTGCTAGCACTTGGGGTTATCCAACATCATTTTATATTCTATTTCTATTTTTCATATTCAACATCCTCTCCCCCATCTTGAATTATATATTTCAGCATCTTTTTGGAAAACCCCTTTGGTCTGAAAAACAATTTACCAGATTCCATAGAAACCTTCTTATACTACAATACATGTAATTTTTTAGTACATGTGACCTTTTTTCTACTTTTGACCCTAGGCATAGTATTTTATATATTCAATCAACCTGGGGACAGAGCTGATACTAATAGCTGATTCCAGTGTTATTTTGCAAAATCTCTTTGATTTGAAAAAGCTGACGAAGAGGGATTTACCTAGAGAGATTTGCTACAATTTGTGACTATTAAATTAGAAGTCCTATGCCTCTCAGTTGATACTGTTGTTTCTACATTCTTGTGGTCAGTGATCAAGTTTGAAAATCTGTCCAATCAGTGCCAGATCTGAATGGTACATTCTACTGAGTGTTTTGAATTTGAAATGCCTTCATTTTAATAAATGAAGTAAATGAAAAGCTTTTATTTTAAAGAATGCCTTTAATACACATTCCTCAAACTTTTAACTAATAATTCTGGAGGGATTATATCTGCAGATAATTTCCACCTAATCTGCATGTTATTATAGTATAGTTTCTAAAGGAATAGTCTGATCAGGAGATTTGGATTCCCATTGCTACTCTCGTAAGTCTTCTTCCTCTTTTATTTTGTAGTGTAGAATATTTTCCATTCTAATTATATTGGGTATTAGTATGTTACTCATAGATTTACACAATGGAATATTTTCTCATTCTTGTAGGTGAAAGTTGACTTAATTGAACTGTCAGAAAAAGGATGCAGCGACTTTGATCTGCAAGCGGAATTGGAGAGGTCATTTGTTACAGAGCCTTCTTCTCCTGGTCGGACCAAAACCACAAAAGGCTTTAAACTTGGCAAACACAAGCATGAGACATTTATAACTTCTAGGTAACCAGTGGTCTTGATGTTGCACATTTTTTGTATGCCTTCAAGTCATTGTTGACTCATGGCAACTGTCTAACAAGTCCCGCAGATTTCTTGACAAGTTTTCAGGAGTGGTTTTTCATTGCCTACTTTCTAGGACTAAGAGAGAATGACTGGTCCAAGATCACTCAGTTGGCTTCATTCTTAAAAGGTCTCCTCTTTCTAGCCTGATGCCTTTAATCAGTATACCGAACTGGCTGTGTACATGTACAGATAGATTTCACTTAATGGCTGGCCTGTTTAGCAGTGGTTTAAAGTTACAAAGGTGATGAAAAAGTAATGTTACAATTGGTCCTTGCATCTACAACTGTTAAAGTATTCCAATAGTCACATGCTCACCATTTGAATGTACCATAGCTGGCTTCTGACAAGCAGACTCAATAGGGAAGCCACCAATAAAATTGCAAGTCATAGTCACATGATATCTTGCATAAACTGGGGCAAATTCCCTTAACAACCTCAGTGGAAGTGAGGTCCATCACAATCGTGATATTTCGCTACACAAGTTTCTGCCCCAATTGTGGTCATTAAGCAAGGACTACCTATATATCCAATTAGACAGTATATATGTAAATATATATACCTAAAGATAGATTTGTATTACTTCACTGCACAAATGGTAATTTTGTGAGCATGATATAATGAGATTAACTGAACTTTGGTCACAAAGAAACTATTCAGCACATTGTTTGCCTTGTTGCAGCAAACCTCTCATAAGCCTAATAGTTTATGTGACCTATGTTGAATTATTCAAATTCCATGAATTTTACATCCTATGATTTAGAAAAATTAAATCCTGAAATTTCCAGTTTCGTAGTTTGGGAAACAAAACAAGCAAAAAAGTAAGAGTTGCTGAAAATGATGCAACTAACCCATGTAGGTAAGCTTCAGTCTGGATTATTTTGTCACAAAGAAGGGTACAGTGGGCTCCAATGGAAGAAGCATTTCTCTTTCTAAGATGTTAACAGATAATATGTCTTAGAATGAAATAAGGTTATGCCAGATTGTTGAGAGAAGGGAGGACTCTTTAAACCCCCGTTAGACTTAAATCTGAGATTTGGTAAATTCTATAGAATATATCAATGAGTTATAGTAATACTGTTTGTATTTGACTGATATGAAAATGCCTTGCTTGAGCTAGCAATGTCAACGTAGTTCAATTCTGGGAAATATTTTGAAAAGTGACTGCAAAAGAACAGGAAAAAAATGGTGTGATTTTTAGCTGGCTTGCGAAGAATTTGTAAAACCTTTTTCCTCTTTTGTGTCTCTATAGTGGAAAGTCAGAATACATTGAACCTGCCAAGAGGGCTCATATTGTACCTCCCCCTAGAGGTAGAGGCAGGGGAGCATTTGGCCAAGGCCTCCGCCCCCATGACATCTTCCGTCAGAGGAAACAGAACACCAGCAGGCCCCCCTCCATGCATGTTGATGACTTTGTAGCTGCAGAGAGCAAAGAGGTGGTTCCGCCAGATGGGATCCCCCCTCCCAAGAGGCCACCTAAAGTTTCACAGAAAATTTCTTCCCGTGGTGGCTTCTCAGGGAACCGTGGAGGGCGGGGAGCCTTTCACAGCCAAAATAGATTCTTCACACCCCCTGCTTCAAAAGGTAAGTTATATGGTTCACTTTAACTTGAAAGCTTGGAGCTAGCTCTTAGAAAGGCAAGTTATCGCACATATTCCTTAAAGTGAAATTCATTGTCATGTTGCTAGGTTATTTATTCTAGCAAGTAAAAAGAAGCAGAATCTCCAGGTTTTTTTTTTCATATTCTTTCTATTGTCCTCTCCATCACCATTCCTATTTAAAAATGAGTAAAATTTAGGCATAATTGTATAAATAATTCATTTAGGCAAGGTGGGTGCTGTTGAAATTTGCTAAGCAAATAAAGTCTTGCAAAACAAATCAGAGTTTAACACTGCTCCTTTCCCACGCTTTTATATCAGCTTTTCATTTAAAAAAAATATCATGCTGTTAAACTGAGATGTAAAGTTACATCTAAATCAAAATAAGAGCAATATGTGTTTGGCTTAAATTGCACTTTTTTTAAAAAAAAATTTTTTATTTTCAGACAAACACAAACACACAACACATATAACATAAAAGCCTCTTCAATTACACACAGTGTGTCAATTGGTTACAAAGTCTTTCTGTGTCCTTTCCATGGTCCTCACTTGAATTTTATCAAAATTCACATATTGACAATCAAGATATCTTTGTATAATACATTATTATTATGCTTCCTCCTATTCTAAGTCATTCAATCATTTTAGCATTGATAACATTCTCTAATAGTTTCCAATTCCATGTTTTTCCCCCATTATTAGTATCATCAATCTAATATACATATACACATTGATATAATTATTAAACATCCATTAAGCCTAGCTGTTATTACATCCTTTCAACTTAAAGCATATTAAATTTAAAGTAAATATATAATTATGACATTTTATTACATTACCCCTAAATCATCCAATGATATTGCATCTTTATATTCTACTCTATATAAAATTGTTTAACTTTTATAAAAAGGCTTTTCAACATCATCTCCATATCCTTACTTACAGTATTGTATAAAATTTCATATTATCAATTCAGTATATATAAATGCTTTGTTATCATTATTAATCATTTAT